ATATATAGATAGATAGATAGTCAGTTAGCTAGCTAGCTAGCTAACTGGCTAGCTAGCCAGCTAGCTAGCTGGCTAGCGGGCTAGCTGCCTGGCTAGCTGCTTAGCTAGCTAGGAAGGGCGAGCGCCAGCTGCCCAGCTAGCTGCCTGGCTAGCTGCCCAGCTAGCTGCCAAGCTGGCTGCTCAGCCAGCTGCCCAGGTAGCTAGCTAGCTAGCTAGCTAGCTAGCTGCCTAGCTAGCTTGCTAGCTAGCTGCCTAGCTAGCTCGCCGGAAAGCTAACTAATCACCTAGCCAGCTAGCTAGGTGTGCAACTAGCCAAGTGGGTAGTTGTACAGTTCTAGGTAGCTAGCTGGCTAGCTGGCTAGCTTGCTAGCTAGCTAGCTAGCTAGCCATGGCAAGTTTGCATTGAGGGATGTGGGGCTGTAGCGGCTGGCGATTTGAGGTGTACGTACACCGCAGCTAGCTGTGGAGGCTCATGTGCAGCATTTAAAATCTTTCATTTAATTAAAAGATTGTTGAAGTGTTTTATAATTTAATCAATTAACATTTTTTGAATTCCAAGATGAAGTGGGAATCGGCCAAAAGCAGCAGCAGCAGCAGCAGCAGCAGCAGAATCACTACCAGCAGCAGCAGCAGCAGCAGCAGCAGAATCACTACCAGCAGCAGCAGCAGCAGCAGCAGCAGACGCATTAACAGCAAGAACAGCAGCATTAGCTGCAAGAGCAACAGCAGAAAGAAGAGCAGGAGCACCAGCAGCATCAACAGCTGCAGCAGCAGAATTACTAGCAGCAGCAACAACAGCAGCAGCAGCAGCAGCAACAGCAGCAGCAGCAGCAACAGCAGCAGCAGCAGCAGCAGGATTGGCAGATTGAATAAAATGGGACCTTGGAAGCCTTTTGGCATTTAATAAAAGATGCCACTGAGCTGCTAAAAGCGAAACCCAAATATAATAAATAATAAAAAGAAAATAAAAAGATTTAAATGCCAAAAGTCTTTAAATGCAAAAAACAAGAAATGCAAATATTACCGCCGCGAGCTGTACATACACTCCAAGCGCATGCAGGTGCCGGCCGCCTCAAAACGCCAATTTTGCAAATAAATGAAAAACAAATAAATAAATAATAAATAAATTAATTAATTAATTAATTAATTAATAAATAACAAATAGTAATTAAATAAAGTGCTTTGGAGGCCTTAAAGAAGAACTAGGAAAATAAATTCGCTCGAGTTGAGCGAAGCAAATGAAGTGTACATACACCTGAAATCTTTCTCCGATGCGGAGCTGTCGATACACCTCAAGTTGACAAAGGGCTGCACCTTCTTTTTAAGACCCTTTAGAAGTATTTAAAATAAATTTAAATGAAATAAAAATAAAAATGTTTTTGCAAAAGTTTTTGAAGAAGACGTTTTAAAAAGGCATTTTCGGGCTGTTTTCAGGTGTCTGTACACCCCAGAGTGCACACCCATTTTGTTTAATTTCTTTTCCCCTCGGACTTTTGCAAAATGGTAATAAAGTGCCCAGCTAGCTAGCTAGCTAGCTAGCTAGCTAGCTAGCTAGCTAATTAAATGGCTAGCCAGCTAGCTAGCTGATTAAATGGATAGCCAGCTAGCAGGCTAGCTAGCTAGCTAGCTAGCTAGCTAGCTAATTGGCTAGCTAGCTAGTTAGCTAGCTAGCTAGCCGTGCCTGACCGGCTAGCGCAGGCTGGCTGGCTAGCTGCGGCTAGCTAGCTAGCCAGCTAGCTAGCTAGCTGCCGAGAGCCACGTAGCCACGTCTACTCGCTGGCAGCCGGCTAGCTGCAGCTAGCTAGCTACTCGCAGGCAGCTAGCCGCGGCTAAGTGAAGCTAGCTAGCTAGCTAACTGCAGCTAGCCGCAGCTAGCTGAAGCTAGCTAGCTAGCTAGCTGCAGCCAGCCGCAGCTATCTGAGGCTAGTTGGCTAGCTAGCTAGCTGTGGCTAGCTAGCTGTGGCTAGCTGGCTAGCCGCGCGCAGCTAGCCATGTAGGGCTAGCGGAGGCGAGCAGCTAGCTGTGAGTGCCAGCGGCTAGCTAGGCCACGCTTTAGGGCTAATTTCGTGAACAAAGGGCCTGCGGTTTAGGGTTTAGGGTTTAGGGTTTAGGGTTTAGTGTTTGAGGTTTGGGGATTAGGGTTTAGGGTTTAGGGTTTAGCAGCCACACGGGGCCTCAAGCTAAAGCGGCTCGAGTTTGGGCGGATTGATGTTGTCTTATATTCATTAGTGTATTTACTTCTAGGGTTTAGGGTTTAGGGTTTAGGGTTTAGGGTTTAGGGGTTTCGGGTGTATGTACACCCGGGGGCCCTAGGTGTCGTCAGCCCCAGGCGGTTCTGTCTTTCTGTCTGCATGCAAAATAAAGTAAAATAAATAAATAAAAAGATAAAACTCTTTTAAAACAATTAAATTTATATTTTTATTTTCATTTGCTTCTTTTTTCCCGCGTTTATAGCCCCAGAAGCGCCAAACCCTAAACCCTAAACCCTAAGCCCTAAACCCTCATCTGCATGCGTGCTCTCTTTGCTTCAATTAAAAAGGCCCAATCGAAGTTATTGCTTTGGGGGCCCCCTTGTCATTGGGGGCCCCCTTAGCTGCTGCACCCCCTGTAGACCCTAAACCCTAAACCCTAAACCCTAAACCCTAAACCCTAGGCCCTAAACCCTAGCTCGTGTCTGGGGCTTCGCCCCCCGCCCTGAGGCCCCCCGCGAGGGTTTAGGGTTTAGGGTTTAGGGTTTATGAGCTTTCTACGCCAACGCCGGGCTAGAGGCCTGGGGGGCCCCCAGGGGGCCCCCTGGGGGCCCCCCGAGGGGCCCCCGGGGGCCCCCAAAGGGTTTCAGGGTTCAGCAGCTGACGAGGGTTTAGGGGCCCCCCATGAGGGTTTGAAGAAAAGAAAACCCTCGAGGCTTTTTGTGCTTTCTTGTTACACTGCAACTTTATCTTTGCTGTTTATGGCCTGCGCCATAGGAGGTCTGTTCGCGAGGGTTTAGGGTTTAGGGTTTAGGGTTTAGGGTTTAGGGTTTAGGGTTTGACGGGGGGATGGGGTTTGGGGCGTCGGGCACGACGGCGAGGCTGGGGTTTAGGGTTTAGGGTTTAGGGTTTGCCGCGCTGGACCTCCCCAGAGGGTTTGGCTCGGCTGTTCCTGCCCTGAGCCTTCGCAGCTTTGTTCAACCAAGGGTTTAGGGTTTAGGGTTTAGGGTTTAGGGTTTAGGGTTTAGGGTTTGCTGTTCTGAGCTGCTGCAGGTTGTTTTCTGGGAATTTATATTTCGACCCCCCAGCTGCGGCCAGTTGAGGCCGACCCAGCCGACACAAGTAAACCCTAAACCCTAAACCCTAAACCCTTACGGGTCTCAGTGTGTTTGTGTGTCTCGGGTCTAGGGTTTAGGGTTTAGGGTTTAGGGTTTAGGGTTTAGGGTTTGGGCGTGCAGGTTCGACTGGGGAGTTGACGGTGGGGGCTGATGGCAGCACTTTGCTGCTGTTTGGAACTTTAGTTTTTACTTTTAGGGTTTTGAACTTTTCATCTTTTTCTCTTTCCTTCAAAGTCGAGGGTTTTGACATTTACTATTACCCCATTGGGGCTTCTCGCCAGTGCCTCCTTTACCACGGAGGTCCAAACCCTAAACCCTAAACCCTAAACCCTAAACCCTAAACCCTCGGGGGCGCGCCTGGCCCGAGCTGGCCCTCGCGCCAAACCCTAGCGAGCCCTACAGCCTGAAAAACCCTAAACCCTAGCACACCCTAAACCCTAGCAAACCCTAACCCTAGTAAACCCTAAACCCTAGTAAACCCTAAACCCTAGCAAGCCCTAACCCTAGTAAACCCTAAACCCTTGGAATCGTAGTGAATCCCTAATAAACCCAAGTAAACCCTCATAAACCCTAGAAGACCCTAAACCCTAGACCCTAGGCCTGGGTCCCTAATAAACCCTATAAACCCTAGTAAACCCTCATAAACCCTCGTAAACCCTAATAAACCCTAGCAAAAGCTGAAAACCCTAATAAGCCCTCATAAACCCTAGAAGCTTCTAGCAAACCTTGTCAAGTTTTGTCGCCTCCTCCTAAACCCTCGAAACCCCAATAAACCCTAATAAACCCTAGTAAACCCTAGTAAACCCTAATAAACCCTAGTAAACCCTAGTAAACCCTCATAAACCCTAGTAAACCCTAGTAAACCCTCATAAACTCTAGTAAACCCTAGCGAACTCCACTAAACCCTAATGACCCCTAAACCCTAGCACAGGCGCGGGTGGCAGCCACAGACGCCTGCAGCAGCAGCAGGGTTTTTCCAGGGTTTAGGGTTTAGGGTCTAGGGTTTAGGGTTTTGCGCAGGCACTCTTCTTGACAGCAGCAACCCGGCTCTGAGCCGCCGCGAGAAATTCGGGATGCCCACAAACCATCCCTGGGTTTATTTCTCCGAGCCCGACAATGAGGTTAGGGTTTAGGGTTTAGGGTTTAGGGTTTAGGGTTTAGGGTTTGGGGTTTAGGGTTTGGGTTTGTAAACGCTTTTTCCGGCGCCCACATTTTCAAAAAAGTGTCTTGTGTGGCTGGGCGCTTGCGCAGGCCGCGTCGCGTAGGGCTTAGGGTTTAGGGTTTAGGGTTTAGGGTTTAGGGTTTAGGGTTTAGGGTTTGTGGCTGCAGGTGTTGGTGCGTCCGGCGGAGTCTCAGGAAGGGTCTGTGGGTGTTTTGTCGCTGCCAGCGCGTTTGGGTTTGCGAATAGACCCCGCAGCTACTGCTGCTGCTGCTGCTGCTGCTGCTGGCGCTGCTGCTGCTGCTGCTGCTGCAGCGCAGCAGCAGCAGCTGCTGCAGCAGCTGAAGGCGCTCGCAGACGACTGCGCGGCCTACGGAGTTCTGCTGCTGGGGGTCGAAATCACCGACGCCAAAACCCTTTCTTTTATTGCCAAAGTCCAAAACCCTGGACCTCTTCAAATAATTCAAGCAGTGAAGTGCAAAGTGACTTCGGAGGCTCAAACGGCTCTCGCTGCAGTCAGTCGTTCCTACACTT